CTGAGGCGAGCCGTAAATAATGAACACTTGAATGCTAATTAGGCGTTCCCCAACGCACCCCTCACGATCGCGCGTGCATCCGCGCATCCCGATCATGAAGCGATGCCCTTCGTGGCGGCGCACATAATGACCAGTTGTGTTTACTACGCATGGTTGCACAACCGCGTGTTCAGAAATATATATACACGCCGCCGCGATCTCTCCGTCACGGCGTGGTACGGCGTCCGCACCGCAACTTTGGCTATTTTGCATATATATATATATATATATATATATATATATATATATATATATATATATATATATTGTTCACGAAGAAGCATGCACGTGCACCACCGAAGGTATAAGAGCAGCTTACCCTGGTCAACGCTAGCGCCAACAACTGCGATTTGCCGTGTGAATATACTACAAATGTAGCAGCTAAATTACAACTGGTAAGTACAACAAAAATCCCAGCTGTGCATTCTGTTTTTGTTAGAACAAGGGTCAACGTTTTCAGGACTAAATTAAGCGCTGTTTGTACCTCCAATCTACATCTAATAGCCCCCACCGGTATCTCAATAATATTGTTGCTTGTGAGTGACTGCCATCATATCTAAAGCTTGACGTGCCAAAACTACGTTATGATAATTAGAGCCTCCGTAGTGATGGAATACGGCAATTTAGTTCATTTAGTGTTCTTTAACGTGCACTGACATCGCACAGTGCACAGGTCTCTATAGCGTTTCGCCACCATTTCAATGCGACTGCCGCGGCCGGTATCAAACCCGCGGTCTTTGTGTCAGCAGCCTAGCACCATAACCACTATGAATAATTAAATAAACAAAAAATAACTGTCCTCTAAGTCCTCCCAAGGAAGAGTATTGACAATGATGCAATACGAATAGCGTGGCCGGTAACGTGTAACGTTTTTTTCGCTAACTTCGTAACGTCTTCGTTATCATTTCCTAACTGTAACCGGTAACGTAGATAACATTCTTTAGTAACATGAAGAGTCGTGTTGCTATTTCTCGCTCTTCTCTATCGGTCGGCAAATATTGTGGAGCTCAGTCAGAAGACTCATCAAATGTATTATGCACTTCGGACTCACTCAGACTGAGGCTCACCAAAGTTTTCCCGAGCCGAACTCACACGAATTCATCAACATCAACATCATCATCAGCCTGACTACGTCCACTGCAGGACAAAGGCCTCTCTCTCCCATGTTCCTCCAGTTAACCAGGTCCTGTGCTTGCTGCTGCAAATTTATGCCCGCAAACTTCTTAATCTCACCTGCCCACCTAACCTTCTGTCTCCCCCTAACTCACTTGCCTTCTCTAGGAATCCAGTTAGTTACCCTTAATGACCAGCGCTTATCCTGTCTACGCGCTACATGCCCGGCCCATGTCCATTTTCTCTTCTTAATTTTAACTATGATATCCTTAACCCCCGTTTGTTCCCTAATCCATTCTGCTCTCTTCTTGTCTCTTAAGGTTACACCTACCATTTTTCTTTCCATCGCTCGCTGCGTCGTCCTCAATTTAAACTGAACCTTCTTTGTAAGTCTCCAGGTTTCTGCTCTGTAGCTAAGTACCGGCAAGATACAACTGTTCTATACCTTCCTCTTGAGGGATAGTGGCAATCTACCTGTCATAATTTGAGAGTGCTTGCCAAATGTGATCCACCCCATTCTTATTCTTCTAGTTACTTCAATATCGTGGTTCGGCTCCGCGGTTATTACCTGTCCTAAGTAGACATAGTCTTTTACAAATAGAAGTGCATTATTACCTATCTCGAAGCGCTGCTTTCTTCCGATGTAGTTGTACATTACTTTCGTTTTCTGTAGATAAATTTTAAGACCCACCTTTCTGCTCTTCTTGTCTAACTCCGTAATAATGAGTTGCAATTCGTCCCCTGAATTTCTCAGCAATGCAATGTCATCGGCGAAGCGCAGGTAACTAAGGTATTCTCCATTAACTCTTATCCCTAACTGTTCCCATTCTAGTCTGAAAACCTCCTGTAAGCACGCGGTAAATAGCATTGGGGAGATTGTGTCCGCCTGCCTTACACCCTTCTTGATCGGTATTCTGTTGCCTTCTTTATGAAGCACTATGGTAGCAGTTAATCCCCTGTAGATTTGTTCCAGAATATTGATATATACTTCATCGACGCCCTGATTCCGCAATGTCTGCATGACGGCTGATATTTCTACTGAATCAAACACCTTCTCGTAATCTATGAAGGCTATGTATAGTGGTTGGTTATATTCTGGGCATTTCTCTATTACCTGATTGATAGTGTGAATGTGGTCGATTGTTGAGCAGCCTGTTCGAAATCCTACTTGTTCTTTTGGTTGATTGAATTCTAATGTTTTCTTTAATCTGTTAGCAATTACCTTTGTAAATATCTTGTATACTACAGAGAGCAAGCTGATCGGCCTGTAATTATTCAAGTCCTTGTCATCTCCTTTCTTATGTATTAAGATGATGTTAGCATTCTTCCAAGGCTCTGGTACTCTTTCCGTCAGGAGACACCTCGTAAACAGGGTGGCTAGTTTTTCTAACACAATCTGTCCTCGATCTTTCAGCAGATCTGATGTTACCTGATCCTCACCAGCAGCTTTGCCTCTTTACGTGCTCTCCAAAGCTTTTCTGACTTCTTCTATCATTACTGGTGGGGTGTCATCTGGGTTACTGCTAGTTCTTACAGTATTAAGGACGTGGTTGTCCCGGCTACTGTACAGATCTCTGTAAGACTCCTCCGCTATTTTAACTATCCTATCCATATTGGTAGTTACATTGCCTACTTTGTCCCTTAGTGCATGCATCCGATTTTTGCCTATTCCAAGTTTCATCTTCACTGCTTTGACGCTTCCTCCGTTTTTCAAGGCGTGTTCAATTCTCTCCATGTTATACCTTCTTACATCGGATACCTTACGCCTATTAATCAACTTCGAAAGCTCTGCGAGTTCTATTTTGTCTGTTGTACTTGAGACTTTCATAATTTGACGCTTCTTAATGAGATTCTTCGTTTCCTGGGAAAGCTTGCCAGTGTCCTGTCTAACTATCCTGCCTCCAGCTTCCACTGCACACTCCGTAATGATATTTGTCAGATTATCATTCATTGTATCGACGCTAAGATTGGTTTCCTCACTAAGAGCCGAGTACCTGTTCTTAAGCGAGACTCTGAAGTCCTGTACTTTCCCTCTCAGTGCTAGCTCATTGATTGGCTTCTTGCGTATCAGTTTCTGTCGTTCCTTCTTCAAGTCTAGACGAATTCGGATTCACACTTACGAAAATATTACTCACCTGTACTCACTCACGACTCGATCTGAGCCTGAGCGAGTTCGAGTGAGTGTACTCATGAAGTCCAGAATTAGCCTTTTCAACCACGTTGTGAATGCTTTTGAATACCGATATTTCACCTCGTAATCAGTGCTCTTGTCGGCAACTTTATCTATCTATCTATATATATATATATATATATATATATATATATATATATATATATATATATATATATATATATATATATATATATTGTCACGAGGTTGTGAAACACGCAGCACTTGAGAGGAAGCACGCAGGAGTCAGGGCGGTGTCAGGCGAACTGTTTATTGGACGAACTTGTGCCCAGCAAAACGGGGCCAAACACAACTCATTGCAACAGCGGCGTGAACAGCCGTCGGCCGACGGAAAAAAAGAAAAGACCCCCAGTGGCGCACTGCGCCGGCTTTTTATACACGCGTCGTAACGCGTTCCAAAGTGGCATACAAGATAAACGCGGCCTGCGTTGCGCTTAACAGAAATTGATAGCGTCTTCCTTCGCAAACGAAAAGAACCGCACGTGTCAGTTTTTTATACACGCGTCGTAACGCGTTCCAGAGTGGCATACAAGATAAACGCGGCCTGCGTTGCGCTTAACAGAAAGTGATAGCGTCTTCCTTCGTAAACCAAAAGAACCGCACGTGTCCATATATATATATATATATATATATATATATATATATATATATATATATATATATATATATATATATATATATATATATATATATATATATATATATATATATATATATATATATATATATATATATATATATATATATATATACCTAAGAGCCCCTAAGTATACGCTTCTTTCCCTTATTCGTTATCGAGTGTCTCGGTACTGGCAGATTGGTGCCTTTAGGTTGTATAGGAGGGACTATTGGTGGTCAGCTGCCAGCTCGTAATAAGTTCACGTGCTACGTGACACCAAACAGGCTGATAAAGGGGTGTGCCACACTTGCCTCCATGGCTATAGATGGCGCTGACTGACACTCCCACGTTTAAATTCACATATAAACCCAACAAAGTGGCTGGGGGGTAGCCGCCGTGGTACCTCAGTAAGTGGTAGAGCATCGAACGCGTTATTCGAAGGTCGCAGGTTCGGTTCATGCTCACGGCAAGTTATACTTTCACCCTCTTGTATTTCTTCACATATACATTACAATTCGATCTAATAACTTTCCCTATACTTTCCTTGGCATTCTTCTCTGTTAGATGTCATTATTATTGTGTCAAAACACAAAAATACGAGCCCTTGAATATACACTTCTTTCCCTTATATATATATACATAATTTTTATTGAAAGAAATGACAACAAAACATATTTATCAAGAACTTCTCTTGAAGAGTAAGCGAAGGTGGAGTTGAAGGTAATTCACGGCTTTGATGAATAATATCGAAATGGCTTACCAACGATACTTCTACGGAATACGTATGAGTATGCATGTGAGTATAAATGTGAATTCAGGTAAGGCTACTTTACTAATGCTGAAGATAAAATAGATAGGGCCATATGTCGGCAAACAAAAACTGAACTCATTCATACTCAATAGAGAAATATATCTTGCGCTTTGCGCTCACTCGAACTCAGCGAAATTCTCCTCAGTTGAACTCACTCGGACTCGCACTCCCGAAAAGTTTGTTCAAACAGACTCACTTGGACTTAAACTCACTAAAATATTACTCACCCGGACTCGGGACTCGATCTGAATCTTGGTGAGGCCGAGTGGACCGACTCATGAGCGAGTCTGCCGACCCATGCCTCTCCCCCATACCCTGTGAAAAGAGGCGCACAGCTCGTAAACTGTCAGCTACAACGGACGTGTGGCTAATTTAGCCAGTAGTTGCGGCTCACAAAATTATTACTCGAGATATCTATTGTAATTCATTCCACCATCGTACGTTCATTCTTTATAGAAACGATGATGATCAAGGTCTCATTTTAACGCGGGAGCGTGAGAGCTCGTTTCGCAGAAATTCCAGTGTCGGTGATAGATGTGAGCGAAAGCGAAAAATCAGCGTCGTCTGTGGGCAGCAAGCCTAGATAGATGCAAACAATTGAATGAATAAATAGGTATTGGTTCAGGTGAGAATCGGACCCAGGACTTCCGCGTGGCATGCAGGTGCTCTACCATTGCGTCACCAAAAAACTGCTTCACACACACACACACACACACACCCACACACACACACAAACACAAAAAAACGAGCATTAGAGGAAAAGTATGTGCGAGGAGTACCAATGGCATGTCGAATCTCAGCTGACGTCAAAACATGTGAATTGCGCAACAAATGGTGGTAGGGTTAATGGTCCGCCAACTACAAAGCACTCAGTAATAACTACTCATCATTGTCTAAAACAAAAGCAAGAACGTGTACAGCTGCGCAGATGCGCGTGTTGCCTTGTACGAACAAATAGTGGGTACCTGGCAAACTCGCAAAAGGAAGAATCATGTAGTGGCAGTGTTTTACGGAACGACGTTACAGGAACTAGTTCCTTTATGAAGGAACGAAGGAATGCCACCGTTCCATTCAGGATTGGAGGAACTGAAACGGTGACTCGTTACGTTTACGAGGAAACGACGTTCCTTTTGTAAACGTTCCACGATGTTCAAGAGGTGCACGCACGCAGCCCTTCATGCAGGACAGGGCCAATGTGCAGCCGTGTGAGGCTCCAAATGTACTCACTGAGGCGTCCTCACTTTCATGCAGGCCGCGCCGGGTAGCGTATAAGAGGTCCGTTCGATTCACCTGCACCAATTGGAACCAGTTCACGGCTGTGCACACGAAGTTCATAAATTGTGCAGCGTGAGTTCAGCGGCGCAGGCACAGCGCGACCCCCGAAACGAATGACGATGCGCCAACAGTGTGCAGGCCTTATTTCTCTTCGCTTAATTTACACCGTACAGCTAACACTGAACGATGGCGAGCCACACATGTGGACAGTTTATGAGGCGCAAACATATTGGCAAAACACACCGCGTTTGTAGAGGCGTGTATGACGCCTAAGCCACCTACGCCAAAGTGCTGCGTCGTCTGCTCAGTTGCACATGCGGGTGCACCAAGCCGGCACCATCAGTGGAGGAGGTGCAGGAAAATCTTGAACCAGTGCTGCACCTTTTCTGCACCTTTTGAAACGAATGACAGGGTTCAAAGGTCGTCAGTGCTGCACCGCTGAAACGAATGGCAAAGGGAAGCACCCCGTGAACTGGTTCACGTGGTGCAGGTGAATCGAACGGACCAAAGGTTTCGAGACAAAAATTATCATCATCATGAACCGACACGCGCTTTCTTCGTTCTCTTTCGCTTCGTTCCGAGGACACGTGTCCTAGTTTGCCCGGCGCAGGGTGCGACAACTCCGATGGCTGATACAACACCGGGCACAGAGAGAGCGAAAAAAAGGGACACAGTGGGGAAAAAAGAAAGAGAGAGAGAAACTCTATGGGGGAAAATTGGCATGGCGAGATTCAAGACCGCTTATTCACGATACGAAGGCGTGCCTCGTAACCAGTCGGGTATCCCCTTCTTCTTTTTTTTTTTTCAGTGTATCTATTTAACGTAGGCATGACACTATACAGCGATTCAATACAGACAGAAAACTATATATCCATTGTGCTGAGCTCGTATGACGAACCAACCACGAACACAAAGCAGTAAAGAATTTGCATTACAGCGCGAAAAAGATCAAGTAACGCTCATTCCCAGTTATATACACCAGAACGGCGGTGAGGATAAACACCTCACCAATGCAAATAACATCCCGGCACACTTTTCATTTGCTGGTGTGCACATCTTAGCTGATTGACCATTTCAATCAAGGCGGATGCATAGGAAATTATTGACTCTGCGTTTTTCTGCAACACTCGCGCATGCTAGAATGGCGTTGGGACAGCCTTGTAAGTATAGCAGTGTAGTGGGAAAGGGAAGTGAAGATGAAGAGAATGCATAGTAGAAAAACAGAACTAGTACAGACAAACGAGAACGAAATATTTATGAAGAAAAATAAAGCGAAAAGTGAAGATAAAGAAACGGAAGGAAGAGAAAAAAAAAAGACAGAGGACGAAATGTATGGAAATAGGGTCACTGACTGTATACAGAGGATTGTACAGAATTGAAAATGTAAATCCTGGACATTATTTTCTACTCACATTGAAATATTGAACCACCACTGATCTAACGTTTAAGTATGATCCGAGTTTCCTGTGCAAGAAAATGAATGATATTTGTATATTGCATGGTGGATATTTATATGTGAATATCTGAAGCGCAGTATCCTGACTGCGCCTTTGAAGACCGAAGCGAAGTGCGCCACATGTGTTAGACGAACTAGATTTGTGCAAAAGTTGCTGTATCACTAGTGGTTCATAAAAATTCATCTTTTATTTAGTTCATCAATAAAATTCATCATTTTATTTTCTTACACTGTCATTTAATTTGTCCTCACTAACTTTTTGTCCAGTCATATGCTTAGATTTATAAGTGGTTAAATGTCAGCGTTTTCACGCTGCTGTGCATGACCTTTTGTTCTGTTTGATCTGGTTTACAACCATCGGATAACCTTTTTGGAGTTTAAAAAAGTGTTTAACGATTTCAAGTCCTTTGTACTCCACTATGCGAGAACAGTGAGCCGTCCCGAAAATCTGTGAAAACCAGACGAAAAGAATGTGGTTCTGTTTAGAAAAAAAAATGGCAGATCCCACGTACAATGGGAATCTATCATATGTGAAGCACGAATAAGAAAGGTTGATATGTCACTTTAAAATCAGCACAACGTTACGAGGTGGAGGTAAATGATACTGTACATGACTTTCATGTCATGATTATCATGTTTGGATGTGTCGTTTGCCTTCGCCATCTATTCACGTCACGTGATACCAAATTTAGTATATGTGGAGCTAGCGAAACGTCTGCGAGCACGCTATTAGCGTGGCATGTTGTCATGTTCTTACATGACACGCGTATCAGGATTATAATGTTTGCACCAGTCATAAATTTTGTCATCTCTTGACATCACGTACCAAATTTGGTATAAGTGGAGCTAGCGAAACAGACGCGAGCGCATCATGAAGGGCCCAATATACTCCAATGTAGCGTAGACGCTCGCGCATGCTGGGCACAGCGACGCTACGTTAGCAAAACGCGAGCACTCTATAGTCTGACGCCAGGCGCGACCAGAGTCCGCTGGCATGGCCCGACGGCTACCGGTGCGAAATTCGTGCCGATGCATTACCCAGACGACACTGCGTCTCGCTCTTTTTGTGACGGAGGGACGCGCTGAAACGCGCATGCGTCAAAGCAACGCAGCGTGGCGGGCGCCTGTGAGTATATGGGAGGACAGGTGAATGGCGTAGCAACGCCGGCGGGGCGCGACGAAATGAACGCCGGCGACCACGCGCACCGCGTCACGTCGAAATGTATTGGCGCCTTGACTGTGGCATAAAGTCATGTTCTCACATGACACGCATCTCATCATTATCATATTTGCACCAGTCACATACCTTCGTCATTCATTCAAGCCACGTAATACCGAATTTAGCATATGTGAAGCTAGCGAAAGGGCCTCGAGCGCATTATGAGTGTGGCATGTAGTCATGTTGTTACATGGCACGCATGCAGTGATTATCATGTTTGGATGCGTCATTTACCTATGTCCCCCTTTCGCGTCACGTAATACTGAATCTGGTACATGTGAAGCTAGCGAAACGGCCGCGAGCGCATGAGCGTAGCATGTAGTCATGTTGTTACGTGCCACGCCTCTCATGTTTATCATGTTTGCACCAGTACATACCTTCATCATGCAATTTACGTCCCGTAATACCAAATTTGGTATAAGTGAAGCCAGCGAAATGGCCGTCAGCGCATCATGAGCGTGGCATGTAGTCATGTTGTTACATGACACGCATCTAATGATTATCACGTTAGGGTCTGTCGCTTGTGTTCGCCGTGCAATCATGTCACACCATACCACTTTTGCAACATGCCATGTGAACGAAACCAGTGCAAGAGCTGCAGGACCATGAACTGTAAATTGTAACATTCATGATATACATATGATTTTCATGTCATGACTAGTCAAATAGGTTCTTCATACAGTCATGTTGTGCCATACCAAGTTTGGTATCGATACCATTATTGAAAGGGCCAGGAGAGCTAAAAGTCGTAGGCGGCTATATAGATACATAGTTACTTCTAAGTAGCCGAAGTTCGCTAAGAAATGCTTCACATTGAAAAGTCGTTAACGATTTTGAGTACTTGGTACTCTACTGCGGGAGAGCATGAGCCGTCCCGTGAGCCTCGCAGCAGCATCTGCAACCTGCGCCCAACACCGTGAATATAATTCCAAACGATATGGATTTGTGCGCGCACCGGCGCTGTGGTGGCGGGCGCCTGGATTTTGAGCACTTGGTTCTCTAGTGTGGGCCTCGCAGCAGCATCTGCAACCTGCGCCCAAACCGAGAATGTAATTCCAAAGATATGTATGTCTTTAGATTTAGTGGTGGTGGTGGGGGGTTAGAGAAAGTGGGTAACGATTTAGAGTACTTGGTACTCTACTATGGGAGAGCACTATGCCGTCCCGTGGGGCCCAAAGGCAACGAAGCGGTCGTCGTAATGTTATATAGAACCCGCACCGGCGCTGCGGTGGCCGGTGCAATAACTGCTGCTAAGCAGTGCGAGTGGCATCATAAATCGTGGCTGTGTACTGTGCTCTGGTTGAGAGCATGATATTTTGTTCATGTTAAGCTTTTGTTCTGTGATTTCCTTCAATTGATGGTTGCTTAAATGTGGGTGTTTTTGCGTTGTTCCGGTCCTTTATGTTGTTTGTTCTGGTAAATAGCTTTTCGACAACCTTTTTATTGTTCACAGCCTCTGTGCTTCGGTTTGTTCGCGTGCACCGGCTTTATCGGACGCGAGGCCCACCACTGGAGAAGCGGGCGCTGCAATCGTTGTGACGTACAGGGTTGGATCACGTGATCTCAATCTGCTCTGGCAAGCGAAGCGCACGGTTGAATGCGTCGCTTTTGAACGCGATTTCTAGGTTTTTCTGCTTTTGAAAAGCGTTCTTTAGCGCGGGCTTCATGTGAGCACTTTGGTTGTGGTGACTGAAGTTGCCGCGACAGAGGGCAGTCCCGCTGCCACGTTTTTGGGTACGTCTGCTTTGCGTGCGGTGTCGAGAGCCACCGTGCCGAAGGGTAGCCCCTGTGTCAAGTCTCGCTGGGCTCTAGCGGTCAGGAGACGGGCCATGACCGCAGCGCACCCCACGTGCTGCGATAACCCACCTTGCCAGGGTACGTTTACTTTGCGCGTCGCGACCGAAGTTGCTTCGCCAAAGGGTAGTCCCTTTGTCGGGCCTCCCTGGCTTGTACGCCGGGAGGCAGGCCGCGTCTGTTTGGCGCCTGGTGCCGAAAAGTGGCCCCCTTGCCAGGGCATGGCCGTCCGCCCGAAACAAAACGTCCCCCCACACGACCCTGGGGGGGAGGCAGTGCCGGAACAGACGTAGGGTGATGATGGGTTGAGTTAACTATGACTCTGGTACAAAGCACTTCGGCGCCGCGTCTCCTTCCTGATAACTGCACCGAGAGAGTACACATTGTGGGAGAGTGCAGTCAAACTCACCGGCGGCATTGTACTCTACTGCTCCGTGCCACAGTGCTCTACGTACGCGAGGGAATCAGGCGCGAGCTTTCACTTTTACGCCAAAGAAAAACAACTACTCAACGCATGGCTTGTAAAGCTTCGAATAGGCAAAGAACCAAGCTCCTACACACGTGTGTGCAGCAAGCACTTCCGCGAAGAAGACTGTGTACGGAGTGACGGAATGACGGCCGAGAGACGGAATGCAGGCACAATGCATCGGAAGGACTCGCACTTTCGTGCGATACAGAAATGCTAGCTCGGAGTCCCCAGTGCTTACCGGTGGCGCAAGAAGTATCGCGTTTCAATCGCTGTGCACTGTTCGTTGGCCGTAAACCGCTAGCATAACATGTTTCTTCCGCGGCAGGGTGGAAAAAGCGCTGCCTTGAAGCCGGAGCTGTGCCGTCGAAGAATTTACTGGTGTGCCCGTTGGATCGTCCGCGTACTGAGCATCGCAAAATCCGGAAGCAACGGAGTCGTTAGTAATTTTTTTATTTTTTAATTAGTGAGCTACGTGGTGTCACGCTTGTCAAACAGTGTACTTATGCTCGTAGGGTGTGCACGCCGCTTCGATGCTTCGAATGAGTACTTGGCATTATTTCTGTGGTTCTGTTCGAGCTTGCTTACTGATGCACTGCCAACAATGAGTTAATACTAAGGTCTTTTCGTTTTATTTGTTAAAAAGAAATTTCTGATAGGAAACTGCATTAAAGCTCGTGAATTAGTAGTCAAGTTAAGTGCGAAGATTTGTGTTTATTTCAGCTTTTCATCTGTAATTATTGCATCGTGTGTACTTTGGTAATAGTGTTTACAATGGAATATTGACTGCTTCAGGAAGATGCACAAGTGTGATCATAATAAAATTAATCATTATATTTTTCAATACATAGTGTTTAGGGTGCTACGTGCCAAGTCGAATAAAGGTGTGGGTATTTGTTAGGTCAGCATGGCTTTCAGTCACTTGTGTAGACACGGTTAGCATCTGTCAGCATCCTGCATCGTACGCATAGGGCAGTTTTCACTTCCTATGTCTGAAATTTACTTATGTGTGGCATGTGCAGATCTCTTCAGGTGACTAAAATGCTGTTAACAAGACAAGAATGCAGTGAAATTTATTCTTATCAACCACATTTAATTCTGAGACAAAGATTCGCTACAGACTGTGGTACTGTGGTTACTTCTGTAAGCTTTTATGTTAAGGAGACAGGGTGAGCAAACACAGACACAAGAGAGAAGGCAAGACTTTAAAAATGCCTTATCATAAGACATCACAGACACCAAGGGTGTTTATAGTGTCTTGACTTCTCTCTTGTGTAGGGGTTTGCATGCCATGTCTCTTTAGCATGAATACTAACCAACTAGCTCAGCTCTTTGTTATTCTAGCCTTTTGCAAGTTGTTCACTGTTTCTATGAAACAATTGAACATCACCATATGCCCTCAAATTCAAAGCTTTTATAGTCCTGCTTGGTGATGCTAATAAACAAGTTTTGATTTTCAGTTTGTATAAACCGCATTCTTGACAGGACGTTTGAGGTGCATATATTTGATTGAGCAAAGGTAGGAGCAGCGTGTGCCTCTTGTTTTAGCATACTTGGTCCCACATAAACGTATTACCAATCTAGAAAGCATGTATGACAAGTTGTGAACAAACGAAAATGAGCTACTTTATTTATTGCCCAACGCACTTAGTAGCAAGATGAAACAACGCTCCTCAGACTTCAAAACTTGCAGATCTGAAGGAAACTTTGATTAACATGCATGATCATCAATTTATACCTTCTTGGATTATTCGCATATATTTTAATGCACAGTGCCGATGTACACATTGCCTTGCGACTGAGTTAATTACTGCATAATAGCTTTACTGTAGGCACAAAACCATTGTAACGGCTTTAAACAGTGGTATCCCGCAAAGCACATTATCACTGAGTGCTTGACTTGAGTGATATTATACAAGAGCTAGTGGGTTAGTTGGCTGAATATTGAGATACTCAAAAAACAGTGCAGACAGCAGGACTACAGTGTTGTCTTCTCATAGTCCTGTTGTATGTGCTGCTCGTTCAGTTTGTCGAGATATAATGCACATTATATTCAGTCGAAGCAGATTGCAAAAGTGTTGTGGAGGGCAATGTTCGTGAGTATTCAAAGTAATAACTTGTAATTTAACACATATCATAGGAAATAACTCATAATAAATTCAGTTTAGTCTTCTGCGGTGTCTTGAAGCTGAAGTGTATCACATACAATTTTGTAAACAAGTTTGTATATTTTTAACGTGAACTCTCAAACATGCAAGAGCTCCGATGTGGCAGTTACATTTGTGTGAAAAGTTAAAACGGCTGCAAGTAATTATTGACATGAAAGACGCATTCCTAAAGCACACTGTTGCAGTGCTTGCAGTAAGTAGTGACCGCATAATATAGAAATGTCTGTGTGACATTGTAAAAGTTTGTGCAATGTGACAGAAACCTAAGGTAGGTGGAGTAAATAACACAACTTAAAGTGTGCTACTTTTGCTTGTATGATTGTCCTTTTTATTAGGAGACATTTATAATGTAGCTTGACACGAATAGTGAAAAAAATTGGATGCATCTTTCTTTTAGTTGCAGCAGACGTGCCATTGGTGGCGGTACATCCCACCCCCAAGCCCCCTGCAGATACTCTAGACGTCCAGGCACAACCATCTGAATATGAGATTCACGAGAGCTTGGGCACATCTGCCTTCAGCAATCACCAAGATGTCAACAATGAAGATGGCCAGGAAGGTTAGTTTGATGGTTCTATTGCTATCTGATTCATGTTCGATTTTTCGCACAACACAGTTTTAACAATATTGTGCTTCAGATGTTCCTGTTGCAGCGCTTGCCTTCAGAAGAGAAATTGGAATTCAAGTTAACACCCTTGATGCTGCGAGACATCAACCACTCAGCATAGCGCATGTAAAAACACAAAAAGACCTAAGTGTAATCAACGGTCTTCTGTGCTACCAGCTATTTTATAACATTTGTGATGTGTACACTGACAGCCGTATGCTTATGCAGGCAAAACGCTTTTGTCTATGCAATGAAGATGCAGTGCTAATGACTGTAATGAAGCTCCACCACAACATGCCATTTTCACTAATTGGGGTACTTTTTGGCATTCATCACACTACAGCAGCAGATGTATTCAAAGCAACAATTGCAGCACTAGCCGAAATACTGCAAACCGCAGTATTCTGGCCAAGCAAAGAGACGGTCGTTGACAGCCTCATCGTCCATTTTAAGGAATACCCAAATGTGCATGCAGTTTTGGACTACACGGAAATCCCACTGCACAGACCAAAGGATCTGGAGTCACAGCTACTCACGTACAGCTGGTACCTATATAGCTAAGGTTTTAGTCTGTGAAACACCTGGAGGCCATATTAGCTTTCTGAGCAAGGCATATGGTGGAAGGGCATCGGATTCCTTTATTACAAAGAAAAGTAAAATTCTTAAGAAGTTTTTGCCTTCTATAGATAATGTAATGGTTGACAAGGGCTTTCTGATCGATGAACTCTGCCTTCTGCACCATGTCATTATGGTTCGCCCTCCATTTTTACACAAAAAGAAACAGCTTACACAGCGTGAAGCTCAACAAAACCAGAGTATTGCAGCTGCCCGCGTTCATGTGGAACGTGCCATTCAGCGTATGAAAGTGTTCAAAATTCTGTCGGGAAACCTTGGCACTGAGCTTTTCCCGTACATTGATATCTTAACCGTCATTGCAGGAATGGTCAATTTGTCAAAACCGATTTACAGTGCTGAGAAGTTCTTGTATGAGTGAAATAGCTTTGTGACGTGCCTAAAAGGGGAATTACATTCCTATCAGTGTCGGGGTGCCACCAGTTCACTTGAAAGGCCAGTAATGCAGCAACATGCTATGCATGCACCGAAAACAATTTCAGTGTGTTTTGCATTGCTTCTCAACCATGCCCAATATGCTTTAGAAGAGCTATAGCTGGGATATAATTTTTCCTGTTTGACTTTTTATGGTGAGTTCTTGTTTGTATTTCTTGTTTTTCAGTATTGTTTATACCAATATACTTTACATGTAACTTTGAATATCTGCTTTGATTAGATGTGCATATTTTTTTCTTTTTTATCTTTGTTATGCTCGTGTATTTTTCTTTCACTTTTTGCTGATTTTTTTAGACTTATACATACATGTACTCAGTAATATGAATTATCGAGACAGTACAAATGAACGCTGGAGCAAACTGGGTATACTAAACGTACACGACTTGAAAACCTTGCGATTGGCTCTTGAGACACATCATTTGCTTAAGAATGACACTACCTTTTCACTCACTTAACACGAGCCTCAAAAATATCTGCCATATACATTTCGCCATGTTAGCTACAGGAATAACAGGATCAGGATAAATTATGGTTCATAAACGTTGCACTATCAGATTACACGACCCTTGAACTACAACACAAAGGTATAGAAAAAATAATAAGCAAAACAAGTTGGGAAAAATAAACCACCAAATAAGTCAACTACTACTTTCATATTTTTTTTCTGTGCATATTGCCTGCTATTTGTGTTCAATGATTTTTGTCCTCAACAATGATACAATTGACTTTATATTTACCTATATGTTCTCAAAGTTGTACGTGAACTATTACTTCTTTTATGTAAGTTTTCAGTTGCTTCTGTTGTTGTTTTCAGTGCTTGTGTACAAACTGTTGTTGTTTCAAGTGGGAGGGCCTCATCAGGTGTCAATGCCTTCAGTCCTTTCCTTCTGAAGTGTAACATTCTGCACTTGAATAAAATCAATTCAGTTCAATACTTATTTCACTGTTTGTTGATTTGTGTTTTCTTACCAGCATTACCTATAATGCTTTGCTTCTCATGTTTTGTAAAGTTGGCATTATTACATTAAGTTTCTCTTGTGACTAACAAAAGTTATTCGTCTCACATTTTATAGAACTCTCATTCACATGGCATTATTGAATTTGTTTTCTAATAATATTAGTTTTCGGGGTTTGACATGCCCAAGCCATATCACCAGGAGGCACGTTGTAATGGAGGGCTCTGGATATTTCGACTGCCCGAGGTTCTTTAACATGCACTGACATAGCTGGGGGGGAAGGGGGATATGAAGCATTTGTACTCTCTTTGTCATTGTAACATATGTTTTCGAGTAGTGATTCACCCTTTGTAACCTTGCTTCCTTACCCACAGTAATCATATTCTGAAAAGAATGCAATGCAAAAGTATTTATTTACATAAAGAGCAAGCTGCACATTAAAAACACTATTGATCGACATAACTGTAGTCCGCAATTTAGCACCCCTGAATGCAGTGTGGCATCATGAAATGCAACATCATTAATGTGCAGCTCTCTCAAGTACTCACACAGATGCACGACATAAAAACACCAAAGAGTTAGAAACACCAGTACAGCATCCCTCGCAGAGCACAGTGTGGCACAAGCAAACAAACACCATGATATTATTACGAAACCTCACATTCTCTATTGCACTGTTTATGTTATCTAGTTGGTCTTGCGAACTAGAGTGTTATTAAGATGTGCATGTGGCTTAAACAACACCTATTAGGCATCTTGTAACGTTTTACTGTGCTATATGTGGCAAAACATAGGATTTGAAGAAGTACACAGCCCTTTCTACAACAGAATTGCAAAAGACTTGATCAAGATCAACAGAAAATATAAGAAAGTGTTCAGCGTCTTGAAACACAAAAAAGTCACTCCTGTGAACTTTTGCAAGCATCATTTGAATTTGAACTTGGCAGAAATACTTGCTGGTTTTCTTAAGGTACACATTTTCATCCTTGGACACTGCAATATCCTTCTGTTTGAATTTCTCAGGCTAATTGGACATTTAACCTCTAGAGTCCGCTGCGGGCAGCAATCGCAAGTGACCAGCCCATCTGGGGATGCACCAATACAGGGGTGCTCATTTGAAATTAGGAGGCCAGTGTCTTTCACTTGAAGACTTGTATGCGACGCAATGGCTGTGTAGACCTCTTTTGCTGTCTTTTTTAGCAAAATCCCTCGGGACATTGCAGAAGTTTGAACATTGTGCTCTCTCATTATAGACTTCAAAAGAGGCCACACGTTATGAGGCCCCATTTTTGTCCTTAATGTGTGCCCCCTTGTGTAAACAGAATAAGCAATGGAGGCTGTCACCATCCCTCTTCTGTACAGCATCAAGTGCAGTGAATCTGCTTGTTGTGTTGTTATGGAAGTGATTTCTTCTATGTTTGAGTCGGTGAATGTATGCTGAATGCAACTGACATCTCATCTGCTGACCTGGCTCCATTTGCCACTGCTTGTGCAACTGCTTCAGTGAGTGTTTGCTGCTCTACAATTGCGTTACTGTTCTCCTGTCGAGTGGTTGCTGGGGATGCTGGAGACCTGCACGTTCCCTCCGACTTATCTTGCCTTACAGCTAGAGGAGATGCTCTTGATGCACCAGCATTTTTTCCTGTCAAACAAAAAGAGTCATCGTAACACCTTTGAGAACCATTTGTGGACAAAAACGATGAGATGAATAAAATGAAGAGGTTAGCCTTTTATCCTATTTCTTCTTCAATACACACACATCATAATTCCTCAAAAGCCTTGGCAAAAATGTGGTTGCTTAAAGACTGAATAAATCCAAGTAATCATGCAATAATCATCACCATCACAAACAGCTACGAGCTTCATCATATGCATGCTTACTGCCTGCACTATGGCGCAGTGCCGAACACTCATGAGGCAATCCATGGAGCAGCCTCTCAAGGATGTTTTTTTCAGGCATTCTGACTTCTTTCCTCGGGTGAAAAAAGAGAGGTGAATATATGTTTATATAATTTTATATGCATATTTCTTTAAAATGATGTGTTCTTGCCATTGTTTTAGGCCATCATGTGGCATGGTGTTTATTTATACTCTCCATTTTTATTTGTTACAGTTTACATGTGCTGCAACAAGGAAATTGACGGAGCACTTATAATCAAGCCATTCCTTCATTTAACTTATTAAGTGACCAGAACTGCTTAGTGATTTATTGCATGCAAAGTGCAGCTATTGCAACTCTCACGTACCACTGCAATTACGGTTCTCCATTTCCTAGGCAATAATTCGCTATTAAATTCGCCGCTTACCTTTTTCGAGCGTCGTAACTCTGCAATCAACCTTGGTTTATACTTCTTTCTTGCATCTCTCTGCTGTTTTTTACCCCATTGCTGAGGCATATCAGTAGAAGAAAGGACGTCAAATGTTTCTGTCACAGGAATGTGCAGTAGTAGTGCTATCATGTGCTTACACTTGTGCTGCCTATATGAAGAAAAAAAAAACAGTAATAAATTGCAAAGACTTTACTACAAATACTGTTCTGAATGAATATAAAGGGGCAATAGCGTAGCCAAAAAAGGGGAACCCCCCCCCCCCCCCCAAAAAATTTTCTATTTTGCTTGCGTACATATTCACGCACACATACAAATTCACGCACGAACATACATAAAGTATGATTGAAACCCCCGTCCCTGAAAAATATTTCTGGCTACGTCCCTGTAAAGGTCTCAATATCCCTTGATTGCAAATATTTTATTGACGATAATTTACCCTTACCCTGCTTTGCAAGTGCATGATGCCGCTGTCACCTGTCTTTCGTTTACTGTAAATTGCAGCTCGTGAGGGTCCTTGTTTACAGATGATGTCTGCAGAATCAGCCCAGCCAGTGTCACTTCTTCTTCTTTACGTTAATTTGTTTTACGCTGCAGGCGACAACGTGGCCAGCTTCAAATACCGATTCACCTTCTTGTAGCAGACGCGAAGTGTCGTACTGCTTGTCGATGAAGCTGTAAATGCTGGACACTGGTATTTTCACTGAAACATAAAATAGCAATTAGACCAGGTAAACTACACCTTGCAGCACGTTAGTGCATTCGAATGCGCAAAGTAATTCGGCCGGCTTGTACATGGTGCATTTGTTATCGCAATCGGTCCCTATCGGCACCGTATTTTTATATCGCGCTTGGCCCCTTTGTGTAAGCTGGGGAATGGAGTCAATCGTCGAGAATTTTCATCTTGATGTGTCTCGATGGCGATCGTAAATGCACCGTGTGATAACAGTAGAAGCTTCAAGCAATAAAAAGCAAGAGCTCAATATTGAAGTTGGGCCACAGACAAACTTCTGTTCACGTAGAATGTTGTCTAGCTACAACTCTGAATGAAGGGCGCGCGTGCACATTGCTCTCGATCGTGCGCTTGCCTCCAATCATATGAGAAAGATTGCGGCTGCATGCAGCTGTAAGCATGTTTGGTTACTTCACACCAAGCGGATAAACCGCATGCGTCGTGCTTTATAAGACTATGTGTAATAAACACGAGCGTAAATTTGCGGATGCCATTTCTTTGTCGAGTCAACCGTGGCACGCTTTTAGATACACACCGACAATGAATGAAGTTACACGCTGGACGCATTTCTTGCAGCAAAATATGTCTGCCGCAAGCGCACCCTAACGCCCATATATGATGGCAAGCTTCAATTCGATACAAAACGGTTGTTTACCTTTTAGAAGAGCAGCGCGCTCGGTCCCCGTGGCTTCTATGTCGGTGGCCATAGCAGACAACGCCGGCAGTCGGGGCATAGTCTAACGTAATATTTTTTCGGAGCAGTTATTGTCTATCTCGTGCAGTCCGGGACGAAGCCACAGCAGTATTTTACCGAATAAGTCGATGTGAAATTCAATAATAATATAGAAAATAGGAGACGCGGAAGCGGCTGCGGCCTGAATTCTTGCACCGTGGCCTGGTGGAGCAATCCAACCCTGCACGTCACAGGGACGCCTCCGCATGGCGGCGCCACGGTATGTCCTCGCGCTCAATATCTGCAGTCACTCCGTGATCTGCAGTAGACTAACGATAGTTATAGCGCGAGAACAAAACGACGACACAGAGACAAGAAGGTGTCGTCGTTTTGTTCTCGCGCTATAACTATCGTCATGCCATACCAACTAGCCCAAGCTGCCACACTTCTAAGCTGCAGTAGACTATGGTGGCTGGACGGACATTGTGAAGTCTTAAGGAGCCTCGCCCCTGAAAGTCAAATGTAGCGTTGATGTAACGACACGTTCTGATTTTTAAAATGTAACTGTAACGAGTTCCTTTTGCATTTTAGGAAGTTGTAACGGGAACTCGTTCCGAAAGTGGGAAGTAACGAAGAACGTTTTCGCGTTACAGTTAAAGAGGAATGTGTACAACACTGTGTATAGTAGGCAATTTTCAAATGTACTTGCAGTAGGCGTTTTAGGATAGTTTGAAACGGTGAATACACAGGCGCACCGACGTGCATTATTTGCGGTACAGTTGAGGTATTCAACCATAGGATATAATCGAGGCTAGTGATTGAGAAGGTGACGCGAACAGAGTCCGATAATGCCATCGCGTTCTACTCTTTAAGACGAAGCTGAAGCGTCCTCCCTTCTTTAAGGGCAATAGTCTTTCTTGGGGACCTTCGACGCAAAAATTTTAGTCAGTCTGTCTGTACATTTGTCTGTTTGTCCACTCTTAGCGGCACTGGGTACTTGAAACGGCCGACCCCATCCGCAGCGCCCACCAATGTTGCTCAAGCTTCAGCGTTCATACTTGTGCATTTGTCAATTAAAAAGCAATAATTGTGCATGTATGGGGCACCATAACAACACATATGTACTCTGCATGTGCGTCTTTTACTAGAAAATACATAGATAAGTAATTCTAAGGACCGTTGCGCTTATCACGCTGCGCTGACCATGGAACGCTTGCACGAAAAGGCGAGTGTTTCCAACGCTTTGCTAAGACGAGACGGTGGTGGTACATACCCGTCGCCTTGCGTTTTACACCTTATCACCTCCGAGATGGGCGCGCACACTCGTCTCAGAGTCACGCGCTTCGTTTTCAAGCAAAACTGCCATATGGCGCCCATGTCTCACATGTGACGTGAATTTATGCGCTCGTTCGCCTCCGCTGCACGCTGAAGGCACTCTAACGCAGCGCCTCCAGAATACCATTCACCAATTTTCTTGCGCAGAACATTGAATAAATGTTTTGTTCACTCTCTCCACACACGAGACTATCGTCTTTCGACGACATTTGCAGATCAACATGCAGATACGCGGCCTTTTTTTATTATTTCGTGCCCTAATTTAGCACTTGATCATCAGTGTGAATCAGTTATTTTGGTTCCTCTATTTATTTGGGCAATATTGGCTCTATGAACTTTCTTGGAACTTGTTGCTATTTATGTCTACTCGGGTAAACGCCAACAAAATCTTTAACGTTCCCACGAGTTAGTCTGAGAACCTCAAAATGGCGCCGCCAGCTGTCCTAATTTCGACTTGCGAATATTCTGGCTTACCAGGTGTCGTCCCGCGGCAAGAGTGTTGCTTATGGTATCTACTAAACAAGTAATTTAGTGGTGTGATTTTTTTTTCTTCACAGCGAATCTCTGAATGGCCTGGGTATTCCGTTTGTTACCAAGCACATGCGTGTGCTCCACAGAAATGGGAATAACTACACTACTCGCCATTGTTCCACATATACGTGGTACACAGAAGACAAGACGACGCATGTCACGGTTAAGAGACGCAATGCTACTGAAATGAAAGAATTTAAAGTAGCATACGCCTCATTCAAAAGGCACTTTCTGAGTAGACACTTGGAATTCATTCTCCGCTTGGCTACGGTTAGGAATTCTGTGTCGTGTGCACACTGCTTCGCTGGTCGTGCACATTCGCAGAGTGTAATGCCTCCTCATTTGTTTCTGCCTAATTTCCCTTTAAAACGCACGTGAACACCGTAGGTAAGCGAAAGTGGGAATCCGTGCATTTAATTCGCTTGTCGACAGCGTCGAGAAATCGCAAACGCCTCATGCGACCACGTCACCATGCGCAATTTATGAACCTCACTCCAAGCGTTGACACGGCGAGGATGTAGTCTGTTAATTGACGCAAATTACGCAAAGAATCAACAGTGTGTGCTCAGCAGGTGCAGAGAAAAATCTAGAACAAGCAAGGGCAGTCGGTGCCAGTTTCGGTTGACCTGATTTTCCTCTGTGGAGCTACGACATATTTTGTGTGTGCATCACTTTTTTTATATTTGTTAATCGTAACGGCAATGCGCCACCTCAATCTATTGGTAACGTGCGACACTCGTTTCTTTCCTTCATTGTAGCTGGTAAAGTATAGTTGCTTTTTTTTTTATTTAATTCGCGCCTAAAGCACTGCTAGCGAATAATAAGATGAAGGCTATGGAACTGTGTGCTAAATTCTGCACAAACACGCGTGAAACACACCAAAAACTTATTTGCTAATTTATTGAACAATGTATTTCCCTGAAATGACGTGCAATACAAAGAGGTCACGCTGCTCATCAAATAAAACGCGGCAGTTGGCCGGATCATAGTCCATCATCGATAACGTATACGTGCGCAACAGCACAGACAGGTAGTTACTATAGGTACACACGGTCAGAATGAATTCAGCCCACACTGATATGAAATCACGGTAAGGTACTTGCCGCAGTTTAATCCCAATTGTATATGCGAAAGCTTGCCCATGGCAAGCAGCGTGTGCCAAGGAAGAGAAGTTGTTTGTTTGTGGTGTTTCACACATATAGAATATCCTTACACATGGATGTCCTCTTTTGTCTCTCTTTCAAGTGGCACTTGTTCTTCACAAACGAATACCACAAAATAAAACTTAGGCGGAGTGTTGCTATAGGTATGGTAGAACGCATGCGTCGTGGAAGAAATATACTTCCATTTTTTACAAGAGCCTTTATTTAGGTTTTTCTAAGGATGCCTTTCGAGGTGACAGCATTTCGAGCGTGCAGCGGAGGTGAACTAGCGCATCAAGTCACGTCACACATGAGACATGAGCGCCATCTGGCATTTTTTTTTTGGGGGGGGGGGGGGGGGACAAAGTGCGTGGCCCTGAGACGGGTGTGCGCGCCCGTTTCAGAGGTGATGGGGTGTAGAACACAAGGTGATGGGTAGGGGCAAGCGTTACATGGTCAGCGCAGCGTGATAAGCGCTATGGTCCTTAGAATTACTTATGTATGCCTTTTCTAGTAAAAGACGAACATGCAGAATATACACGTGTTGTTAGGGTGCCTCATATATGCGCAATAATTGCTTTTTCATTGATAATCGTACACGTATGAACGCTGATTCTTGAGCAACATTGGTGGGCGCTGCGGATGGGGTCGGCCGTTCGGGGTATCGGCTGGTGCTGTTTAAGAGTACCCGGTTCGCGGTAACGGTGGACAAACAGACAAATGGACAGACAAGACAGACCATAGTTTTTGCGTGGAAGGTCCCCAAGAAAGACTGTCATCTTTATCTATCGTCTTTGAAAGAGTATCGTCTTTAAAAAAATAGGGGGGGGGGGGAGGCGGGTGCAGCTACGAACTAGTGGCGTGGAGGCTGAGAAAACAGCGGAGTTGGTGGCCATATCCTTTTCCCTCCTCCTCATCCTTGCTATACTATACTACGCACGGCTATGCCATGCTTCACCCTCTCCTCTTCCTACTCCTCACCCTCACTTATCTTGCCCAGCTCTCTGCTCTACTGTACTTTGGCACGTTTTCTTTATTTCTCTCACTCGCTCTTTCTACCTCTTTCTCTCTTTTATTCTCGGTCTTTCTCTGTCTGTCTTGCTCAAAAATTTTTATGTATCCTTTTATTGTGTCTGTTTCTGCCAGTTTTTCTTGTGTACTTATTTTTTCTCTTTCTTTACTTTTTTTGCATTTTTAATTTCGTTCTCTCTTTTTCTTTCTTCCTATCGTAATCTCTACCTGTACTCCTTCTCTCGCCCATCCAAGTTATGCGTCCCACGCCAGACAAATAGGCACACCTGTTCTGGGAGTGAAGCAGATCATCAAGAAGACGAAGAGAGCGCGCGAAGCTCATGAGGACGATTGATTTCGTTCAAGACTAACAACGCTTTTTGAGCATCCACTGCTCATTCTCAAAATACGTGCCAGCGTCGTCATTGGATTGTCCCGCGGGGAGCGATAGCCGCAGCTGCGAGTACTCAAAAGCACGCGGCACTGCCTAGACGACGCCACGACCGAGTAAAAAGGCAGCGTCTTCTCGGCCGACTTGAGAGAGACGAGGATTGAGGCCACTGCATCAAGCGACGTTCACGCCTGTCATCTGGAGGCGTCAGGTGGGCTCCCTTTTAATCCCGCTGGAGACGCAAATCGAAGGAGACGGGCGCGGTAGTCACGCTTCTATTAATACCCTGCCTTTGTCGGCATGGTGGCGGTGGCCTTTCACGCCTTGACTAAAGTTTGCTTTGCGTTTATCTTTGTTGGCGGAATTGGGGTGCACTTGAATGACAGGAGTTTGCGTGCGGCGATTAATTACTGAATCTGCCGCGCGCCCTCATAATTCTCAGGTCAGTGATGCGAAGGGAGACCTCCGTTTAGCGAAAGAAAGAAAGAAAGAAAGTAAGAAAGAAAGAGAGAAAGAAAGCAAGAAAGAAAGAAAGAAAGAAAGAAAGAAAGAAAGAAAGAAAGAAAGAAAGAAAGAAAGAAAGAAAGAAAGAAAGAAAGAAAGAAAGAAAGAAAGAAAGAAAGATGCCACGTACTAAACGAGGTCGGCGCTAATTCATTGTTGCCAAAGCTGATGCGAGGTATAAGCTCAATTTTCGTTACCCTTTCCTGCGAAACGCGAATTAGTTCAGTGTTTATTATAATTTTTGAAGTATATACACACGAGAATCACGCGTCACAGATAAAATTAATTCCATATTTGCAGCTATGGGC